AAAAAAAAAAAAACAACAAAAAATGACGCTCAAGGGATCGTCGTTATACGCTTAACCATATAAGTTTACTCATGAAAGTTTGTCTAGGGACCAGAATTTTCGTCTCAATAACCGTAGGGACGCAATAAGTGCAGTCGTTATAACCTGATATTACTGCATTTCGTTTATATATCAATCTGTGGCTATATGATATTTAAAGACATTTAAATGATGGGCATTGCCCCACAGAACACCAGAGCTCCGGCTAGTACATTTCGACATTCCTTCCGCTCAGATATGGGAGTCATCTCAATCCCCAACTCATATGCAAATTGCAACACTTTTCATTGCATACTTTTGGGCAGAGCGCAATAATTGAGTCACATTGAAGACGAATTCGCTGAAAATGCAAATCGTTTGTTGACATTGCACAGTTTCAACGAAACGGCATTAAAAAGTGGCAACAATATTTGGATTCGCTGATTGCCTCATTGAGCATGCTCGAGGCGTAAAACTGACCACACACACACGCCTAAATACGCCGTAAAATAATCGAAGAATCTGAGCGAAATGGCCGCATTATGACGCACATATTAAATGGCTAATTAAGTGTTAAACAAGAATTTGAGCTGAGAAAGTAAACAAGTCAATTCGCTGGGCAATTGTAGCGAAATTATTATTATTATTCATTCTTGCAGCTCTGCAATGGACTTGTGGGACTTGTGTGGCATAATCGATATTATCATGGCGGCCCGAACACGTTGCGTTTGGCAAGAGCCGCGATTTAGGCCACGTCAGCTTGCCAAAGACCAAAACTAAAAACACGTTAAAAACAATCGCGCGAAATTACGTTTCAGTTTATTTGGATGGCTTAACACAAAACAATAAACAATAAAAGTAAACAATTTGTAATATCAATGGAATTGGGTCACTCAGCCGGTTGTTACGCTCGTTGCGTGCCAAAAGTGGACCTCGGCGGACTTTCATTGTTTCGATTTGGGGATGGCGAGCGATGCAGCTCTCGCTATATTTGGTCTGACGTTTGACAAGTTGTTTGTAGTTGCTGTTGTTGTTGTTGTTGTTGTGCAATGTGTGACGAGTGCCGCCAGCAAGTGCAGCTCATGAGACTCTCAACAGACAGTCGAACTTCTATCAGTCTGTTGCATTGCCTAATATTTCCGCATTGCATTGCCCAAACGCAAAGGAAAGGCAGACACTCTCCCTCTCACTCTCTCACTTTCCGACTCTCTCGCCCTCTCACTCTCGCCAGCCCAGTTCCCACTTGAAATCCGGACCTGCGAGCGCGCAACCAAAACGGCAACAAGTGTCAGGCAACTGGAAAAACATGAAAATTACGCGGCTCAACAAAGGAAGCAGAGCAACAACAACAAGCAACAACAGCAACAACAACATGCATATGCAACAATTGGCGTGGTTGCACCACCAATACCCTGCGAATAATTTTATGCATATTTTATAAAGCATAAAGTTATTGAAGTATGACTGAATATATTAATTTGTTAGTTAATATTAAATTATAAT